TTAACAAAAGACAGGTGGTCACACTTGAAAAGGGCACAGACACACATGCGCCTGTGTGCAGACAATGCACACACACACATAAACACGGGTGGTTTTCTTTTTCTCTCTCCGTATCAACACGCATGCATATGGTTATCATCCACTTAATTTTGAGAGGAGCAATTCTTTTGACTTTCAGAAAACACAACCCCCCCCCCCCCCCCCCCCCAATAGGAATATAGAAGAAGAAATCTCAATTGATCACATAATAGTCTGGTGTCATCTCCATTTGAAGCAGCTTTTAAACTTTATCACCATCTAAAGCTGCAATCTGAGCTGTGTATAGCACACATCAATTGCTACAAGTGCATAAATACATATCAACTAGTGCTCTCACACTGGGTTTGCCTTTTTTGGAGTGGCTCGCCCTGACAGTGCCAAGACAGTGTGTCCTTGGTCCACTGTACAGCTGTCACTTACTCACACTCGTTGACGCATATTTATAGCAGCAGCATCACACTCAGACCACAGCTGGTCCCCAGAAGAATGGGTGAAAGACAAAGCCACGTGCTCCCGCTGGCCGACTGCAGTTGGTCCTGTCTGGAGCGCCGTGGGTGACTATGTGGCCCCCCCATCCACACAGACATCCCAGGCCCATAGATGTACCAGGGCGAAGATGAGGACCCCTTCGTGTGGGGGAGCACACGGGACTATTTTCTTTGAATGTCACGGATGGGGATGTGCTGAAAACCTTGACAGCTGCACTGTGTTGTTTTGAAGGTGCATAAACACATCATTATGGGGTTAACAGAGAGCAGGGAGGGGAGGGGAGCATCAGCATCCCACCCTTTAATAAGTCCACAATGATTGTTGTGGAGGACAGACAAGACATTAAAGAAGGGATTTCAGTCCATGTGAACTCTTCTTACTTATTAATGTTTCATATTTTTAGGATATATAAGACAAGGCAGACCTACAGTATCACCATTTATTTTGTTCTATGAGCACGAGGCCAACACTTAGATTAAACTGTGAAGAACAGAGTACAAAGAATACACTAATGATTGGTTCACTGTTTTCTCTCATTAGACAAAGTGGGGTTTGATGCAATGACAGACCACAGGAAATGGTTGAAATAAGTGATAAGGACAGTCCATTTTAGAGGACATAACAGGACTTTGGATATTTAAGAGTCAGTGATGTTGGTAAATGATCAAAACAAATGAAAAAGGAAGAAGTGGGATGCTCGCTTTGACATTGTAGGAGAGAAAATAGATGAATATATTTTTTCTTTTGCAACCATAATAATGTCTTGGCACTACGTCATCGAAAGTTATGAGGCTGAGCATCTTTAAAATCTGGATTTAGTCAGACAAATTATTCAATTTTTTAAACTTCACTTGTAATTTCACAATAAGTAAACACACTGTTGGAAAGTTTCAGACCGGACCCAAATCAAATATTAATATGTACTGGTGGAAACACATCTCCAGAGCTATGGACATCTATGTTGGTTCAATGAGTCAGATTGTTTTATCTTAAATATTAATAATCGAGTTCCTTAAAGCTTTATCAAGAAATGCTCAGACGACTTGACGCCCTGCCTGCCAGCAGCTGTCAGTTCATTGTGCCAGAAATCAGGCAGTGTCCTCCAACACCAACTGCAGCTCCCCAGAGAGCAGAGCCACAACTGGCCCGCTGAGCCGGGGGATGTGACTCAACGCTCACAGGCACACTCGCAGTAAGCTCCAGGAAGTGCACTCATCCACGCTAATATCTATAACGCCATACCATGTGATTGATTTTCTATTAAAGCAGTGTTCAGGACTTCTGCCACCAAGAACAATTACTCACTATGTAACAATACCAGTCGACATCAGTGACGAGCCCCCGCCAAATGAGAGTGATGACTGAAGCCCAAGGTCACGTCCAGAAGGGGAAACCGCTGCCAAAGTGTGTGTTCAACCTCTGGGTCTTATTGTTTTAATAAACACATTTGATAGCAGATTCTCAAGGTCAGTGTGCACAGACTGGACCGGAATTTCATTATCATTGCTAAGGCAAAACTTTCATTCTTCAAATAAAAGGTTGCAAGTGCTTCTTAAAATATAGTGTGCTCATCCAATAGGATAGCAGGGTTTGTGTTCCCCTGAATATGGCTCAGTCTGAGAGGAAGTCATCCCTCAGCTGAGTCCTTGAAGTGTGCTGCCACCTGCTGATGCATCTAAACACATGAAGGCAGGCGGCTAACCTTAAAGCTAATTGGCTGATTTTTGCTCAGACATCCATTTTTGATGCCTGCATTATTCAACAATTACCTTACAGTGCCCTTTTTAAAATGTATCAAAATACATAATGTGACTGTATTAATGATGCGCTGAACAGATCACAACATTAAACTGTATAGAAAATAGTTTCAAGTTTATTTCGCTTACTTTTGGAATACAATACATATATACAAGTAAAGATTTGGATCACAAATAAAAATCACAGGTTTAAAATGCAGTCTTAGTAATATCATGAGGCAACTTAATATGTTCAAGAAAAACCTCCCGACCCCTCGTCCATTACGTCGAGCAACTGCAGCAAAGTTCTTCATCGTATTGCCCGCTGTAACTGTGGAACAAAAAGAAAATAATTAGAATTATTGCGCAAAAATGCGTCGAAAACATATTGTCCATTAAGTCTGGTTTGAGTGCGTTTAAGGCACAAGGTGGACTTAATAGAACTCTGAATAAAAGAGGTTTTACCAACTCGGCTATATACCCAAAATATGATGTGCAAGTCAAACTCTGTTTAGGAAGACAAACATGTTGAAAACTGCGTTCAATTCAATGGTGAAAAAGTCTTACATTTTAACTGATGACGATGAGTTAGTCAGACACTAGTAACTGAATAGAAACTATTCTATAAAACAGCTTTTTTTGCCAAGAAAAAAAAAAACTTGTCCCGAGGACCCTACCAAATTTCCTTGGGAATTCTTCTTAGCATCAACTCACCTCCTCTTGGATTGAATAGTGGCTCTAAAAGTGCCTAGTTTGTTTTTTTAAGATTGAAAGATGAATAAGCAGCTATTTTCCTGCTTCAGTTGCTTTTTGATGTCTTACAATCGAGCAAATTCACTTTTATAGCTCGGTTTGCAACTGTAAACAAAACTGATATTTAACCGACTGATTTTCTCATAAATCTGATAGAACTTTATTGGTCCAGTGACATTGATGTACACAATTTACAGTCTGCAGCTTAGACAATACTCCATAGTACGAGCAGCAAACACCTCTTAGAAATGTATATTTTGCATCAAAGCTTTTCAGAATCTGAGTGAAAAGAACATTTGTGAAGTTTGGACTTACTCTATGATGGTGCAGACGGAGCAGCAGAGGCTGGAGCAGCTGGAGCACTGTCGGGTACAGGAGGAGCAGGAGAGACGCTCACACTGGGAGCACGGGGTCCGGGACCCCTGGCTCTTCTGGCACACACAGCAGCCGGTGGGAGCCACTGGGCCAGCTAGACAAAAGGAACACAGTGGATAAGAAATGAGCATTTAGTAGCAAAACTGAGAATCAAAACCTGTGACAACCCTGCCATCTGCTGGTGGAAGCTTGAACTGAACTAACCACAGCTTTTCACCTCGAGTCACTTGATTTCTTGTACTGTGGCCCATTTTAAAAAGCTCCTCTCTTTGAAATCGAGTAATGATTCTTCTTGGTTGAAGGTTAATAACAAATAAAATAAAACATTAAAAATGATGTGCTCTGCTGCCCTCAAATGTATTGTACTTTTCATATTTATTACCCAATAAATTAACATGTTGCCACACATCTCACATTAGTTGGTTGGTCTTTAAAGGAAGGACTGAAAAGTGTGAACCAATCTTTAAAACAATACTACCACACCTTTATGCCCCAATGAAATGTAATAGTAATCTTACCTTCTGCTCATACTTGCCGGGATGAAATCATAATCTAGTTTCTTCTAAAATCACAGCCTTTTAAGTATGTAATGCCCTTTATTTTTGCTTCCCCAGACAGTGTTTCTGCTCAGGTGTAATGCTATTTGTCCTCTATCCACCTCTGGGATTTCCACTTTGCAAGCCGTTTGAGTTTACATAGTTGATCATTTCAACAAGGGTATAACTTTATGAGGACAGCAAAAATGCAGTTGTGGACTTTGTGAGGTCTTGTTTGAAGGAAGAACAAAATCAGTGAGTGCTTCAGAGACTCAAAAGGATTCACTTTATTTTATTTTTGGCAGCATGCTTTGGAGGACCAGGCTACTTCTCTGTGTACATCAGGAGATGTCGCTGTTCTCACACATTTGGATTTGACCTACTATTTTAGTTTTAATCCCACCTTGGTCCTCCTTTTCAGCGACTACCGTCTGCCCTGTCATATGTGTTCTGGGGGTTAGAGGGGCTTTGTAAATAACCATACCAGTCTCTTTTGCACTACCCTCATTCCCACTATTTTTTTGATACATTAAACATTTTTATTTAAAAAAAGCAATGCTTGTAATACTTGTATGTAGGCAAGTTAATGGATAGTCATCATGTTTTGTTCTTAATGCTGTTCTGATGATAATGATCATTCATTAATGCAGTGCTGCTGAGCCTGTGTAACTCTGACTATTATTATTTCAGGTTTGTTTCCTGTTGAACCGAAAAATGCAAAACCAATTGCCCTTCAATTACAAATGATGTTGTATAAATAGTGTGTGTGTGTGTGTGTGTGTGTGTGTGTGTGTGTGTGTGTGTGTGTGTGTGTGTGGCATGGAGGAGGCTATAACTACATGTCATTATAGAATCAAGTATTGAGTAAAGACAATATCAATTTAAAAAAAATAGATGGCTACATTTCTGGGCTGGCTACTGCCCGTTGACAAGGGGACACACATGACAAATGTTTTTATAAACACTATCAGATCCTGTTGACAGAGAAGACACGTTATGTTGTCTTTCACCATTTCTTGTTCTGACAACATATTTTGCTCAAAAAGTACCTAATGTGTATCCGTCCTCCTACCTGCCTGTGAGATCAGCTCACCTTGTGCAGAGTTGACTCTGGTGAGTCTCCCATCTTGTCCAATCAGAGTCTGTCCTCTGAGCAGTGTCTGGCTGCATGCAGGTGTCTCAGCCTGTCCATTAGGCTGTGGGTTGGTGCTGCTCTCCTCTCCAGTCCAGATTTTGCCCATCACAGCCTTGGCACCGTTGAAGAGCAAGTTCTTTGTCTTTGCTATGAGTAAAAACAGACCATTAACTCGTGCAATTACCCCAAAAGAACTCCTCTGACAGCCTCAGGGCACAGGAAGCTGATGTTTATGGCACAAGTGATTCAGTCGGACAGCAATGTTATGAGTTCAGAGTATACTAAACCATGAATATCATATTCTAAAGTCTAAATGCGTTGTTTAATCGCTATAGTAAGTTTCACAAATGCACAAAAGGTGAATAATTTGATTGTATCCAAACACAGCAAACTTACACAAGCCAATAAGCGCAACGAGTGAGCTAGCATTAGCTACCAACACAGGGATGTACTTACAGTAGATTTCCTGTCTGTATTTGTTGCCAAACACGCTATAATTATTCAGCTCCTGCTGTCCGACGTGTATTTTGTATTGGGATGAGAAGGTTTCCGGGAAAGGACAAGTTCGTTTTGTCATTTTCTCAGCGAAAAAGTCTCACCGTGGTACTACAGACTGCAAAATGTTTGTTGCGGAGAAATTGCAACTGAGAAGTCAACAAGCCAATCACGCCCACCCTTTATTGTCACGTGAAAGCTCAGAGCCAATCACAATACGGTTCTGGTGTCACGTGGTAATCCACAATGTGCTGCCTTTACGGGTGGAGGCTAATGTTGGATTTTCTATACTTTTCTTAACTAAACTTCAAAAACGAAGAAATGGACATTGGTAGAACACTTGGGTTTAAAAGCACTGCCATTTACAGTGTGTCAACTGAAGACAAGATGAATAACTTTTTAAGGAAAACAAAAGTGTGAAAAATGTATATACTTCCATCAAGTAATGGCTTAAATTAGTGTATGATATTTCATTAATTTAATTAACCGACTTAATCATCAACACCATCATAATACATACAACTCACAGTGTATGGTTTATGGACTTTTGCATCGAGTTATCATGTTTATTATATTCCAATGATTCCAAAAACATTTGTACTTATTAAATTGCCAGTACAGCAATACATTGACACATACATTATAAATAAATGCAATTGTAATATTTGAAGAAGAAACAGTTTAAACAATCTTTTTTTATTTACTAATGAGGAGAAAATCAGTTTAGTTGATGAAAAGATGCCACATCTTCTTTGCTTCCATCAACGGGGATGAAGGTTTCCACTTCAGAACATCTGGATCATGCACTCCCTGGACTTTCCAACACCAACCCACTTGACTAAAGAGAGAAAAAGAAATAGAAAGAAAGAGGAGAAATTATAAAAGCCAATAATATCCATGTTGGGAATGTCCAACAGTGCCACCTAACAGATATTATGCAGTTTCTGCATTAGTATTTATTTAATCTGGGGGCCTTCGGGGGTTGTGTTGCCAATACTTTTCTGCATTCTTTATAATATTGATGTGTGTGAGCAAAGAAAAAAAAGAAGATATGCAAGTTTGTTAATTTGTGTGAAACATACTGGGAACTCCAATGTGGTTTTCAATGAAGCGGATGTAGTTCTGTGCCTTGGCCGGGAGGTCGTTCCACTTCCTGGCTGCAGACGTGTCCGTCTTCCACCCAGGGAAAGTCTCATACTCAACCTCCACTTTTTGCAAAACGTCCATGTTCGCTATGATGAAAAGAGATCAATTACTATTACTATTTACATACATGATTCATATAATTAACAAAGCAGATTGGTCTCTGGTTCTTATTCTATAAATGGTTTATTTTGTTAAATTACCTGGGAAATGCGGAATTCTTTTTCCATTGAGTTTGTAGGCGACTCCCACTTTAATTTCATCCAGCACGTCCAGAATGTCAAGTTTTGTCAAAGCAATGCTGTTGGACAGGTGACAAGCGATAGGAAAAATGTTTAAAATATGCCGTTTATTATTACTATGATATGATTTATGCAGGAGTAATCAAAATGTGCTCAGGTACAGTATGGTAAATCTGCTTCAATATTCGAATACAACAGCCAAAAAAACTGCCGATTTGGCTAAACTTTTCTAGCCACTCACGCGCTGAAGCCATTGATCATGTGAGCGTATCTGACGATCACAAGATCCAACCAGCCGCAACGCCGCTTCCTTCCTGTGGTCACACCCACCTCGTGCCCCCTCGTCTGCAGGAGTTCTCCTTCTGCCTACAGTACGACGAACAGGAAAAATAAACATGACTTTAATAATAATGAACTGAAACCATGTCAGGTATGTAATCATTTTACAAAAACATAAATATATGCAATCTTTACACAAGTTACAAACACAGCTAAGTACAATAAAACTTCACACAGGCTGGGGAGAGTAAATATAATCTTCTTGACCTATGTCTGTACGGTCAGCTCCCGTGACAAGTAATATTATCCGAGCTCAAACAGTAAATATATCTTTGGCCCTAAATTTATCCCTATGAACATTTGACCTGCATGAGAAGTAAAGAGCGTTTGAGCCCGTCTCTCACAAAATTGGACAGCTGCACTCTGCCAGTGCGGGCCCTTCCACCAGCCCTGCTGCTATCTGTGTGTCAGCCACAAACAAACTGTAAATGTCAAGCTGAATATCAGGGAGTTACATAACATGCCATGTGTCTATTCATACAATATGAAGGCCAAGAAAGCACAGACATGTGAGAACATCTAACCCAGTAGTTCTACAGACTTCCCTGTGCAACATGGAGCTCTTACGTTGAGTTGTTCGGTAGGGAATGCTCCGATTCCCACTCTAGTGGTGTAGGCCTTTGATACACCGTACACATCCCCAATATTCAGCGGAGGGATGCCAAGACCAGTGCAAGCCCCGCCCACAGTGCAGTTTGATGATGTCACAAAAGGATATGTGCCTAAGAGAAAAAATTCTCTATTTCACTAACTCAGATCCACTGGAAAAACACATTTCAAAAAGCTATAAATAACATAAACTACAATCTATATTATATCTTCTGACCCTACCAAAGTCAATGTCGAGGAGCGCAGCGTTCGCCCCTTCAACCAAAATCTTCTTTGGGGATCCGTGAAGAGCTTCATACATGTAATAGACCCCGTCTCTCACCATCGGCCGCAATCTCTCACCGTATTCCTACAGTAAAGAAGGAAACATAAACGTTTTCGTTAATGGAAGGAATGACGATGACTTATCTCTTTTGCAGTATTTAGCTTCAATGTCTACCTTGAGTTTTTTCAGTTGGTCCTCAACGTCAACTTTCAAGGATGGATACATGGATTGATGCTGGTGGACGAGGTTCTTAAATCTGAAAGGAAACAAAATCGTCAAACATATCACAATTACAGTATTGGTCTTGGTGTTTTTGGAAGTTTCCCTTGTAACATACCTCATGGAGAAGTCCTTAAAGTCTCCCAGGAGGTCACATACACGCAGGCCGGTGCGAGATGCTTTGCTGGAGTATGCAGGTCCAATGCCCTTCTTGGTTGTTCCAATGCTGTTATTATGGAACAGGAAGTTGTGTAAAAATGAATGGAATTAATATTGCTTATTCTGATTGTGGTGTACTATGGCAGATTATCTTTGGCCAAAATGTCAGCAGTTCTCCCCTATCCTTACTTCTTTCCTTCTGTTGCTTGTCTTTCAGTTTCCTGTATGCCATCAACAACCTGGTGGAAATCAAACACTGGGGAGGGACAGCAGACAAGTCATTAAAAAGTCCCAATGAAATATGATTCATGCTTATTTGAATAATGTAAACCTCCATGACATACTGAACCTACCAATGTGAGCTCTGTCTGAGACAATAAGTCTCTTCTCCCAGCCTTTCAGACCTGGTAAGAGAATAGAAGTGACGTCTATGTGAGTATACACTAGTCTGAATTTACACTAGTGCATTATGTGTGAATTGCATTTCCTTTTAAAATACCTTTCTTGTCATTTTTATCGCCTTCCTCAAACAGGCCGGGTAGATGAATGACCACTCCATTGCCTAAAAGAAGAGGACAGGAATATGAAGACAATAATATTCTTAACAATGCTGTCTCAAAAGAGCTGAATATATAAAGCCATTACCGATGAGTGATATGCTTTTGGTGTTGATAATTCCACTGGGGAGAAGGTGGAAGTCGTACTCCTTGCCGTCCACCACCACAGTGTGTCCTGCATTGTTGCCACCCTATAAATAAATGTAGGGTACACACTGTGTCATGATATAATACTGAATACTGTCAATGTTAAAGAGAGGATGTAATCAAATACAGTATGGCGTTAACACCCAGGACCCCACAGAAAATCCAGCCACATACACACGTCTCGTCTTATTTTCTTGAGACGGTGATAAGCCACCCTCTTGCCAGTTCTCTTTCCCAGCACCTATTTTAACAGACTTGGCTGTTGTTGGTGGATCCAACTGCTCTAAGTTCCCCCTGGCTAAATCCTGGCCTTCTCACATATCAAGCCACCCTGAGAATGTGACCTCTCTCGCCCATTGGGTGGGGCTATCAAGCCTCCAGAACACAGGGTGCTGTTCCTATCAGTGGAGAAAGTACAACACAGCAACTGTTGGCAGATTTCCCCTTGTTTTACAATGAATGAGTGACCTTTGATTTCTGTTTACAGGGTTATGATGACTATGTGACAGAAACTGACTTGGTGAAGTTGTTTTTATTAGGACATGATGGCATCTCAAATTCAATCTCTTTGTGATCAAGTGAATGAGACAGTCAGAGCAACTGTACACAAGGTGGAGTGAATTCAACTTGATAGATATTTACATGTGCTAAAAATGATAATTAACTGAGTTTACAAATGCCAAAACTAATTTGGCATTTGTAAAATACTTTGAAATCTACGTTTTATGACCACAGACAGTTCCCTAGTTCTTAAGTCACTGAGTGCAATTATGAAACCACAGCACAGTCTCAATATGGTTTATTGTAATAGTCAATAAGGTTACCTGCTATGGCTTCAATTATTCTCTAAAACGTTTCCCATATCACAGAGGAACAAGTGTGTTTGCACCTGTTGCGCTTTAACAGGCTGCAAGTTAGTGACAGCATGTCATTTTAAATGAAAAATGTCTTACAGTGATAATACATTGACACGCCCCTGCTAAGGCTTATCACGAAATCACGAATCAAAGAGGCATTTACCTGACATCTGCAGACGAGGTCAGCTTCAGTCGCCAGCAAATCGACCACCTTCCCTTTGCCCTCGTCTCCCCACTGCGCACCGAGCACCACCGTCGCTTTGTTCCCCGTGTCGTTGCGCGAACGCTTGTGTCCGGTCGCTGCGGCTTGACTCATATTTTTGTGGTCTTTCGCCAACCAGGTTAGCGACATGACGGCGGTAGCGAGGGCCAGCCGGTCTCAAGAAGACTAAGCTGTATCCAAGAGTGGCATTCCCATATGTGTAACTTCATAGCCGGTGATGTCAGAGGCAGACGCAGTGCGTGGCAGCGCGCGAGCGACTTGTCTCCAGGGCTGCGACGACAAAATAGCCTCAACACAGCACAGGGGATGAATGGAAGTGGATTCACCTATTAAAACACATTTATAACATGTTTTTATGCAGCCTGACACGAGGGCTTTCTTATTGATTATATTTGCGTCAACTTTGAGAATGGGTTAGAAGAAATTAGTTTGTTCCGTTTGATACTTTAATGGATATTCACTACATAGCTTCAGTTCAGCCTACTGTATGCAGTCAGTGAATGGTTAGAACAATACAAATAGGATACACCTCTTTATTGTATTGCAGGGCTTCTGCTATACCATCTATAGAAATGGGCAATTTAGTCAAATACAATCGAAAGAAAACTATAACTCTGTAAAGAGTTGTGATCTTGTCATGTGTAGAACAACCATTTTGCATGTATTTGTAGTCATAATTTGACAGGAAATGGAAGCAATTGAAATTAAGCTTTTCGATTGGAAACCGCTGAGTTTCATAAAGTTCATATAAAACAGAAAAAGCATCCAAATACTATATGGACGTGTCCTACTTGTCGAGTGCAGTCAAACAGTACAGTTCTGCATTGATTTTGAGTCATAAGGTAATATGATATGCAAAATATTGAAAGGAAATGACACTGCTACATTTTCATAAAGATATAAAATACAAGCACTAAAATCCCCCCAACAAGTGTACTAATAGAACAATAAGTAACTGCTGAATCATTAAAAAAAATACTATAAAATAAAAACACTATGATAAATAAAAAAGAGGTGTGTCTTGTCCAGTGTATTAGACTATATTCAACACAAACAGAAATTAAACAGTAAATTCACTTTTATTAAAATATATTTAACAATACAATTCACAATCCATTAAATATCCTTATATTTTCCTGTTAGAGATCATCTGGATAATATACATAGAAATTAAGACATTCAATAAGTTTTGTTTTGATTAGTTACATATCGTTTGTGTTGTTGCACCAGCAACACTGCATCTTTCTTTCTAAGGTGCGGAAAAGGTAATAGAGCGTAATGCAAAAACACATTCACTTCATATTACAACAATTGTACAAAACATATAAAGCCACTTTTTTTCAATAGATCAGAATCAAAAACACAAATTCCACAACTAATTTACATAAAGAGACATTTGGAGATCCATGTTTTTGGAAATCCCAGCCTTAAGACGCGTTTACTCTTCTTGGTCATGGAAAACAAATCATTGCAAAAGGAAGACTTCTGCATCCTCTTCAAGGAGTCAATGCTCATGCAGTCTCACAAACTAATAGTATTGTAGTCCTTCCAGTTCACAACTCCTGTGCGATATTAACATTTTCTCTTTCCTCTCGATTTTCTTTTTCTGGAGTAACCTATGGAAACAAAGACTAAAATGAATAAATGGAATCAAAATATATCCAATTAAAAAGGTTTAATAAAATGTTTTACAAAGGGGGTTACAAATATTGCTTTAAAACACCTGGCAAAAAAATAAGCCTATTGCTTTAAAAATGTTAAATATTTCTTTTTTTTTTAAAGTGGCAAAAACATTTTTTTTGCATTTACGTACAGCAACCATCATAAAAAGCCAATTCACAAAGCACACGTTATTTGCAGATTTGAGGAATGGACAAGAAAATATGGAAGGATAGACACAAAAATGGCAGCTTTCATGAAGTAACTCAGTCCACTATGACTTCACACACTGCAAGGCGGTTTGAAATCAGAAAACTGATGCTAAAATTCAATAATAAAGAGGATTACTTTCTATACAAAATTGAACTTTTTGGTTTAGTTTGTTGTTTGTGAGTTATGATTGTTAGAATTACCCACATGATTCTTGCTTTTACTGAATTGTAAAAATGTTAAAGAGAGAGCCGGTGTTAAAAGCTGAACAACAGAGAAAAATGAAATCCATATTCCAGTTAGACCAACAAATGACGTGTTATTTGGGACAACGTTTCGACGGCGAGTGTTTTCATTAGGATGATGTTTCTGCTTACAGTTTGCCATCCCATCGATTTGACCTACCTCACTGCAACACACAGCCTTTTTTATGTTTAGTGTGTCCTTTCGCCCTGTTACCTTAAGATAAGATAAGATGGTACTTTATTGATCCCAATTTGGGAAATGTTTGTGTTAATACAAATACAAAGACTACAAAAATAAATACATTTGTGTTTCAGAATGAAAACAGAGCATTACAAAAAAATCTGCAACATTTCCTGCACACTGCATAGTCTTTAATAAAATGCTTATGAATACACAGTAACATAGCCGATACATAAAATGTTAAATGCAATAAAAAGACAAACAAATATGAATTTCCCTTTAATAGGCATCAAGAGACTAGCGTTCCCAACATGCGCTTTATTAAATGTAATGGAGAGATTACCTGGATTCTTTTTGTTTGGTTTATAGAAGCTCCTCTTTCTCTTTGGTTCGGGCTTAGGGGATGGAGGCAGTGCTTCAGACACTGACGGCAGATCTGGTGACACCAGTCCATCGGGAACATCAAAGCCCTCACTGAGTGTAGTCACGGACGTTTTCAAAATAATCTCTTCTCGCCCCTTCTCTTGTCCTACAGTCTCTGGTAAATGGCTTATTTCATTACTAATTTCTCCATCTTCATCTCCCGTTGTGTTTCTCTCACTACTCGGCACATTGTTAGCATTCGGTAAAGGACCTTCCTTCATATGAATATCTACTTTACCATCCACTGGCTCTTTGGGAATCATCTTCTCAGATGCCAGGCTGGACGTGCCATCCAACACAGCTTCTAGCAGGTCAGAATCGGAGAGGGAAGTCGGGCTGAGGACGCTAGCCTCGGAGGAATCCGGTGAGAAGCCATTTGTGGGGAAACATGGTTGATGTTCCGCTTCAACCTGAGGCTGAGGTTGCATCGTATCTGGTGAAGACACTGCGGGTCCCTGTGGGTGTAACCCACCCTGCAGCGACGCAGGTCTTACCAGGGGTGCCTGCTTCATCATGGCTGGTACTCCTGGGGGTGCCTTGGGAGGTGCAGCTGGTCCGCCTTGAACTGCACTCTGAGGTGCTGGAGGAGTCTCTTCTGACGGGCTGAGGAAGCCGTTCACTCCGCCTGTCTCGGCCCGTGGACCCTCTGACGGAGTTTTGGAGGGAGCGAAGGTGACGGCTAGTTCTGCGTCTTTTTCTTCGACAGGCTTCACACTTGACCCTGAGAGGGAGAAGTAAGCAGTATTTGATGGTGAAGCTTAAAACCAATATTATCTTATAAATGTGGTGATGTCTTAATATGTGCAAACGCTGCATGAAAATAAAATGCTCTCCATGCAAACAACCGCTAATATAGCTCGACAAAGCAACTAATCGAAGGAGCTATAGCTTATCAAGGTGGCAGAAAGCGCAAATAAAAAGCAAAGGTAAAGCGGCAAGGCTGTGTCGTGGCTCGCAGTAAAGTGGCTCGGGAGCGGAGCTAGGAACTGCGGATGGAGGCCACAGTCTCTTGTCCTTACCAGATGGGAGGGTATCCCTACGAATTTCACTAGAAGGGAGGCTTTCCGAATCGCACCTTGGCCTGGTCTTTCTGAGGCTGAAACCTTTTCTGATATCCGCCAGGAGGTGATCGATGATGCAGTCGTCGTCCTGCGGGACAAAGCCTTTCTTGACTGGTAACAGAGAGGTAAAAAGAGGGATTTACTTAAGGTATTTTGTAGTACACAGTGAAAGAAAGCAGGCCTCTTCACAACTTACTGATTTTTCCATTCTCTCCCTTCTGTCTCTTGGACTCTTCATCTGCCAGCTGCTTCTTCCTCTTCTCAGCCTTGGCTGCCAGCTCTCGTCTGGATTTGTTTTCCTGTTATCATGAAAGTGAGGATTTGTCACTTAGCGATTTGTCTTTGTATAATTTGGACAGAGTAATATGAACATTTTCAAATGTATTCCCCCAGTATGTTGATACCCTCATTCCAAAGAAAACACTCCCCACTTATCCAAGAGGAAGGCTTGACTGGGAACTGGTTTTAAACTACACAATGAAAACATTCAGTGTTTAAACGACTATAAGGGTTTAATCACAGAGAGTCATATCATGAACCACATCAACAAAGTATCTTCTCTGACCTTTAGTGCCTTGAGGAAAAGTCCTCGGAAAGTTTTGATGGTTCCGAAGAGTTCCTCAAGCGACAGCTGGTTGACATCTTCACATAAGTAGACAGCCAGCTCACTCTTTGTCTTCTCAGTCTCCGTTAATGTTTCGGTCAAGTCCTGACATGCCTCCAGACTTTCCTGCAGCAGAGGAAATGGATAGAGTTATATGAACAGCTTCCACAAGTTATCACATTTGGCTCCATTTGTAGGCAAAGAAAAAATAATGATCATACCTGAAGAATGTTTCCGTACTGCTCCTTCACCTCTTCGTCAGAGGTGGAGACCTTCTTAGCCGTCTCGTTCAGACGTTTTAGTAAGGCACTGGCTTCTGACTGAACAGATTCCAGACTAATTCTGTGGATAAAGTATCAAATCCACTTAGGAGCAATTTAAAAGAAAAAAAGGAAAAACCTCAGCGAAAGTAGATGTGAAAGGTTTACATACCCTGCTGCTTTTTCACAGATCTCTATATCATCCGGCAGCGCCAACAGCTCTGGGTGGTTCACCTCTACTTCCTTTGCCAAAAAAAACAAACATGAAGTAAGCAATCAAACAAGATCCCAACTGAGATAAAGAAATGTTAGCTGTGAGCTACTTTGTGTACCTCCAGGATGTGATGAAGCAGCGTAATGCGGCTCTTGTTGGCCTTGGTCTCTGTGAGTTTGAGCAGAGAGCTGATCTTGAACCCTGCAGCGTTCCCGGTGTGACTTCCCTGAAAGTAGAAGGATGAATGAAAAAAATGAAAGCTCCGTCTAAATATAAGCTTAAATAAAATGTATTCAAAAAAAGAGCTTCTTACATAATTGAGAAAATTACCAACGTCCAGGATGAGCTTGCAGAAACTGGGCATGAGCGTGCTAGTTCTGAGGGCTAAGATATTGGTTACGTGGTGTTAATTTGAAAATAGGGAAATTACATCTTGAAATAGAATGACCACTACATGCATGTTACAAGCTGTGAAGGGCCTTGGGTTTACTTACACTGGCAGGCTTCCGCCACCAGCTTAGCTCTAGGTTTGAGCATATCCAACACTGATGAAATCTCCTCACACAACAACATGCACTCAATCCTCAACTGATAACTGGGGGAAAAAGCCAGAAAGCAAAGCAAACAAGGAGCCAAGTTATGAAATATCAAGCATGCACTTTATCAACAGTGAAATCAGAACCGGCGTGACAAATAATTACCAGGGAACAGTGAGAAGGGAGGTGTAGAACCGGTCAACATTTGCCAACTTTTCTTTGTCTCCTTGAAAGGACTTCAAATTTTCAATCTGTGTGAAAGATCAAGACAGTGATTCAGACAGGTTTGCAAAATCAAGTGCAAACAAGTCTCTAGGTAAGGATGGAGAATAGATAGAGTACAAACCTCATGGCTCTCTGGTAGGAGCTTCACAAGCTGTTTCAGCACCTCTACGTCAAACTTAGTACGGTCTCCATTCTGAATCATGGCTACAAAGTCCTCATTTTTGCTGGACAAAGAAGATTACAAATATTGTATTTTATATGAAATATTATGCATTAAAAAAAACTGCAACACATGAAAAATCTTACCATTTGAACTGCTTTAGGAATATGTTCAAATTCAAGTTTTTCTTTGGATCAATGAATGTGATCTGATGGGAAAGAAAAGACAAGTTAAAAAGGAATATTGATTATTCAGCTTTGAAAATCTGGCGTTTGTTGTTTCGAGCCGTGTCGAGTGTTGACCAAGCACACCTCTTTAGGCTCCTTCTTGACAGGAGCAGCTGCCCCCTTGTCTTTGTTCTCGGTCACCGGGAAACTGAACAGCTGCTCGATACTGCTGTAGTTCGGCTCCCGAGAAGGCGGCTCACCCTGAACCGTGGCCCACATGGAGTGACCATCTGTGTGTGTGTGTGCAGGAAGAGAGGAAGCTGTAATGAGCTCATGTGGTTCCATTTTGTATCAACATCCTACCATGGCTGATCTAAAAGTAACGGGCCATCTCTCAAAAACACCCACATTTTTGTCTATCCAACATATTCAGTCAGTAGTGATGTCTTTATATGTCAGCTCTAAAACTTAAAATAGTCATTTTTCTGTCATTTTGCAAGGAAAATTACTTAAAAATAAATCAGTAATCACAATAGATTATTTTCGTTCAATCGACTAATCATTGCAGCTATATTATGTTAAAATCAATGCTCCATCCCCATCAACTATTCTGGACTCATATGCGTTCTATCAAAAGCTTCACACACATTTCCCATAATGCTGTTCTGTTTAAAAAAACACAAAAAAAATGTTCTAAAAGTTGTGATAATATATCAGATCTTGACATATTGAGGAAAAAATGTAAGCTAAAAAAGATTTAGGATATGTAAGTGGCACCACATTCTTTAAATCAGATTGAGCGAGGGTCTGCTGCCCTCATGACCTCAAAAGACTAATTACAGAAGCATCTGAAAGTTTTATCCACTCACCCGTAACCGCACGCAGTTTCTGCCAGTTGAGCTTTTTCATCCTCAGGGTGGGGCATCGGTGTGCCTTGGTGGGGGCAGCGGACCCCAGGGACTGACTACCCTGAGCCACCATCATGCCGGGGGGAGGCGGAGGAGCTGGCATGCCAGGTAATGGAGGTGGTGGTGGTGGGCCGCCACCCATACCAGGTAATGGAGGTGGTGGTGGTGGGCCGCCACCCATACCAGGTAATGGAGGTGGTGGTGGTGGGCCACCACCCATGCCAGGTAATGGAGGTGGCGGAGGAGGCATACCCAGACCACCAGGCAGTGGCGGTGGTGGTGGAATTCCAGGCAAAGGCGGAGGAGGTGGGGGTCCACCAAACCCCCCAGGTAGTGGTGGAGGAGGAGGTGGGCACTGGTTAGAAGGTTGGAGCATACTTGGGGTTAGAGGAGGAGGAGGAGGAGGAGCAGAGGCACACAGTGGTTTCTGAGAGGAGGTTAAGCTTTTCTCTGACTTCTCTTCATCCCCACTATCTGGGTCAGTCTGGACCCCCTTATCCGCTCTCCCCAGCTGCCCGTCCAGCTCGTGCTGACCCCTGCAGCTCTTGCCCTTGGAGAACAGCAGCCGCTGCATGATCTTCTCAGAGGACTCCATATGAGCTGCGGCACAAATCCAAACACACACAGAGGAACCCAATTTCAGTACTTCTCTTTAAAACAAAACGCTTTTAGTCATCCAGTCAACATCTGCATGTATTTCATTGCTATGATCCATTTCCTGGGTAATCACTCCCCTTCACACATGAATAGCTGAGGAGCCCATTAGCTAGCCATTAGCCTCTCCAGAGATCTGACCTGAAAGTGAATGTATTGCTGCTTTAGTGCTGACTCACAGTCCTGGGCCAGCAGTATGGCTCGGTTAGTGATGGACTCCAGAGCCTGCCAGATGTCAGAGTGGTCCGGCCCGAGCAACAGCAGCGTCTGCAGGATGGACAGCAGCTGCATGGAGGCTGGGGTGCTGCTAACCTGCACACATCAGCACATGCATACAAACAAATTAAGACAGCATGTCCTGTTTACACATTTAAGTCTAACAATGTGTGCCAGCGCCACAAAGACCTGATGAAACCGTTTATTCAGACATTAGATCCTTTTTGCAACAACTATAACAAGTAGCAGAGAGACAGTCTGCTCTTACCTTGTTAAAGAGAGTAGTGAACACCTCCAGGTGATCACTCATGTCAATACCCCCATAGACCCGCAGTATCTCCTCCTCATCTTCAGACATTGCCTCTTCAAAAGCTTCCCATTGAATAATTAAGTCTTCATCCTCCTCCTCCCTGCACACAACACACATCACTGCAAGAGACCACTTCAGCACAAGGGTCACTAATGGACACAAATGGCAACATCAGTTATAAAAGCACCATTTAACACTCAATAGTAATGGACTTTTAAAAAAGACCTTTAAAGCTCAGAATTAATTTGTTGCATAAATCAGCATTAAAGACTAAACATGACAAAAACTAAATGGGAACAAAAAGATGGAAGACTCACCTTAACTTTGGCAGAACATCAAGTAACTGAAGTCCTGCAACACAACGTGAAACACAGTTCTGAGTACCACAACACTCAATCATCATGTTTTTTTTAAGGAGGCTTATCTCCACAGTGTCTCACACAGCATTCCACATATGCTGGTTTTGGGGCAATTGGCAGGAAGTCACAGGTGAGCAATCACACAAGAGGAGTGGCCCAACAAAGTGCTGATTGGTCAAAGGTGCTAGATTGCATTGTATTGCATTTAGGAGGGTTTATATAACTGAAAGTAAGAAATATTGGTCAAGCTATCTTGACAGTTAAGACCTTATTGTATTGATAGAAAAACAGTTTGTGACCAGTACATGCTTGGAATAGACTCAAAAGGCAATAAGAAAGAATAATCCACAATTAAAAATGCATGGACTGGTAGAGAGTTTCATTCAAAAGTTATCATCAAATATCACATTATCTCTGTATGATTTGATCAATGTAATAGTTGTACAATTTTCTTGAAATAGAAATGTTGATAGCCAGTATTATTGGTGTAAAATGCATGAATGCACAATGATTTTTGACACATAGGTTTGCTTGGTTCCCAGACGTTTTTTTTCAAATGAGAATGAGGCCATTAGGCCTATTCTTAGGCCGTCCCAGTGACAGAGATATTTGTAATAGAGATCCTGCTGATGGCCCGCTTTCCCATCTGCATTCACTCTCTGCACCAAGGGGAGACACTGTTGCAGTTCACCACAGTGAGAATTACTCATGGTGGGACCTCAAGGTAATGTTAGGGAGACAGGTGAATAGGGTGACATTTTAAACATCAGGTTCACCATGGAACTTCCAAACATGATTTCATTCACTATGAATGTTCTTTTTATATTACAAGTTTTCTAAAAAGTTATGTTTAAATATGCAAATGAGGCATTTTCCTATTAAATATGTGCTTGTTTGCATACACTATCAGAAAAGTAAACATTGGATAAAGCCACTTTCAAGATTCTTGTTTTATTTGTTGCGATTTTAGAGGCAAATGTTTTTTTAACAGAGGGAATTAGTTTAATCTCACTGGCCCAGTAAGAATTATCAACCCCTCCATAGAGAAAACATCAAAATAAACTAGTCTGGTATATGTTAGTGTTAATGAAGTGGAGATGTATGGCTCAGAGTCTAAACACATTTTTTAAATAGAGATAACAGCCTTTAAAGACATTATAAAATTAGAAGGATTATAAAATCCCATGTATTTTCCAAGACACTACAAGTCAAAAGGGTAAACAATGTAGATATCACAATGAAACTTCCCCCATTTGATTACTTACGGGGAAAACATGTTTTGTATTACAAGTCTTCTGAAATGTTATGTTTGTTTATGCAAACTAGGCATTATCTTATATATATTTTGGTGAATTTAGAGAAATCTACAGACGTAAATAAAGTGTACTAACCTCAACATCATAATATGTATTTTGGGTGCTTTCACTGGTCTGCATAAAACATGCTATGGAAGCAAAATAGCCCCAAAAAATGTATCTGGCCCGATTGTCTGTCTAGAGGTATATCGGCTTAAATAGCAGCTGAATGGAGAACCTACCAATGAACTGCTTTCTCATCTTATCCCTCTCCCTGAGGTCATCTGTGCCGAAGATGAGGGCGTTGATGACACTGAGGAGCGTTACCATGTAAGGTACGTTATCTGTGGCCTGCAGCTCGTTCATGATCACACTGAAGCGATACTGCTGCGTCTTCACGACCTGAAGGGTGAAATCAATCATCCACTTCAGTGAGGAACAATGTGATTCCACAGGATTATAATGCCTGTGCATCCAACCCACCACTAGAGGGCACTGTTTAGGTATTTATCATTCAGAGTGGTGATGTGGTATCATGTGAGGTAAATACAAATAATTTAAGAAAGTTGGTAGTAGGACTTTTTCATGTTCATTTACTTACCTTGTAGTGATCCAGAGCATCCAGAGCCAGGCGATGGCCGTCTACAGAGAACACGCTCAGGGCAGCAAGAAGATCAAACACCTGTTTCTTCACCATGGTGTTGGAAGTGTCCAAAGCTGTGGAGCAGCATGATCACACACATCAATACAGTTCAAGCGCTTGTATTTTTCATCAGTTTGTCTATGAGAAAGCCCCTATCTCCCCTCTTGTAGTGTAGTCCCGAGCAGGATGCTTTGTTTCACAGATCTTTAGGCAACTATAGTTGAACTTTGCCCTCTGGGGATGTTGCATTGTACAGTAGATACACATGTGTTTTTCCGTGTAAGTGTCTGAGCCCCCCTCAGACACTTACACGGGAAATCCAATATTCATGACTCACTGTGATATTACATTTTTAGGGATTTCTTAAGCAACACTTGTTGATTCATCTCTGTGCATAAAGAGGAATTGACTGGAAAATTGGAAAAAGCTCAGCACAGTGAGTTATGACCCATTTAACGAATATTTCTAATGTTACATAATATTTAAAAACGAATGCAGCATCCCAAAAATTAATATCTTTTGAAATTATTTTTGACTAAATTGGAAGTATACTTTAAAATATTTTGGGCCACTCTTGGAGTACGGTAGATGATCATTTTTTTAACAAAATGAGGTGTATGGTCAACCTTGGGAGAGCTTCCGGATGTATCCCTCGTTGTCTATGATGAAGTGGATCCCTGCAGAGGAGTTCATGACAGCCCGGACGCAGTTGACACAGGTGAGCTGCAGAAGGGCATCGGCAATGCGAGAACACCCCCGCCCCGAGAGCCGATCCAGGGCCTCCAGGAGGAGATCCAGCCCGCTGAGCTCCAGGAACTGGACCATCCATGTCTGGTCGCTGCCCTCCAGGCGCCTCCTCAGCCCTGAGTAGTTGACCACGGTGGGGACTTGCAGCAAGCGGATGCACAGCTCTGGGTCAGCGCTCTCCAGGTTGGCCTCCTGCTGGGTATCTGAGTCCTGCGAGGAGCCCAGGCGACCCCTGACAGCCGCCCACTTCATCTTCCCATCTGGCTTCCCCGACATGATGGCTGTGGAGGACAGAAGGGAATGTTCACCGTTTTTGTTCAATGTGTGCAGATGACAAGAGACCATTTTTTATTATTTCTTAAAAGGTTTTGGAATGTAGATGGCATGTATTTGCAACCCATATCCAAGGGATTTTGTCCAGTTTTACAGTGTCATCGTTGTTATCCAGACTAGAGGAAGCAGGCCAATACAAGGCGTTATCAGAAGGAATGCGGAATAGGAAATGATAGCTCTGCATTTTTGTAGATGAGTAAAAGATATGTCAGCAGTCCAGTCACCACTAGCTCTGCCAAAACATTCCTATTTAATCCTGTTAGAAAGAGCCTGGCTCATCATTGTCTGGTCAGTGCCTATTGCAATTTACTGTATAAATAAATGTATTTTCAAGCTCCCTACTGGAGTATAAACATTGGAAAACATGCACAAGGTAAAGAACTGTGCAGGAGAAACCTTTCACAACATCACATCAACATGAATGACATTGACATGAATAACCACATTGATCAGACATCAGACAAGGGCCCTTTACTGGTATAACCTCAGAGCACAGCCGCCTCCTTTACCAAGCGTCTAAATACTTTCTACACCAAAAGCATTGTACAAGTATAATAAACACGTTCCCACACTCTTATGAAATCAACAGCCTGAGGGTTCCGGCCAAATAAGCAGGAAAACTTTCTCCAAAAGTCTAAAAAGACTTTCTCTCTGTGCTGGAGTTGTGATATTAGGTGGTCAAGAATAAAAGAACAAACAGGAGTGTTTCTTCTGTCCCCTGTTGTTGATTTCACACTTGGCAAACACAAGATATACAGAGGAGGCATTGAGTGAGGAGCGTTAACAAACACATTGCTCTGTTCACTGAGCGAGTCTGGAAGGAATTATTAGTCGTCCTCTATTTTAACATCTAGCATTTAACATTACATTTGAACATTTAACATCTAGAGACAATGTAAAGCCCTACTCAGGAAGCTTTTTTGCACAGTAAACTAAATACAGTAGAAATCCGATTGGCATTTCTCTCTAGAGAATTTAATTTAATTTCAAACCTTTATTTAACCAGATTGGTCCCATTGAGATCATAGATCTCTTTTTCAAGGGAGACCTGCAGCATATAGGTTCCACATGAAACATAAAACAATAAAGGACATCGTACATTATATTTACAGGATACATTTACATAGTTATAGACATTTACAAGTGCCCATAGTATCAACGAGCATTTCATTTAGCCTAGCTTTAAAAACATGCAGAGGAATGAGATTGCTCAGTTTTCAATTCTTGCTGAAGATTGTTCCAAGCAAGTGGAGCTGCTGCGCACATAAAAGCTGTCTTACCTAAGACAGTCCTTGCTCTTGGCACATCTAACAATACTACATCATGCGATCTCAGACAATAGCTGCTTGCAACTCTCTGTGTTATCAGAGAGCAGATATAATACGGGAGTTTACCCAACAAAGCTTTATAAATAAACGTGTACCAATGACTGAGCCTCCGTACAGTAAGTGATGGCAAACCTGCCTTGGTATACAGTCAGTGTACAGTGATGTTTAAGTGCTTTACAATTAGTGACAAATCTCAGTGCGCTGTGATCTAACTTGTTCAGGCAATAGGCAGGTGCATTCATATACAACAAATCACCATAGTCCAGCACAGGTAAAAAGGTCACAGTGACTAGCCTTTTCCTGGCTTCAAAAGAGAAACAGAAACAAACTTGTTTCTGAAAAAGAAACCTAGTCCAACCCTCAACTTTTAAAGCAGGTTATTGACCTGAAGTTTAAAAGTAAGACAATCATCAAGCCAGATACCAAGGTATTTATAACAGGCAACCGCCTAAATCGCAGCCATTCTACCTCTGAGCCTGATTTCCTAGCCTTTGCCCAGGCCTTGTTTCTCTCATGTAGGAGACTAGACGTCCCTTCACTCTAAATGTACGCAGGGGTGCATGTCTATCAATAATTTCCATAAAACCAAGATAAAAATAAGACCATGCAGTTTCTACATCAGCACACAGATCGATTTTACCCCAATCAAAACCAAACAGATCATGCACAAAACCCTGCTCCACAAAATGTTTTGTGTCTCTCTTTATGACAATGTGAGGTTTACCCTTTTGGACTTTAGTGTCCCTAATTGTGGCTACAACACAGTGGTCACTCAAGTCATTAGCAAATACTCCCACAGATTAGTATTTATACTTGTAATTTAGCAAAGTAATGACTCGTGAAAAATCTGACAAATCCGACAGAGTCAAGGTAGGCCTACAATGAGGCTTTTTTTCATTGCACACATATTTTGGCACGGCATTTGTCAGCTCTCTGACTGCAGCATTTTCAGTCCTGCTGCCAGTGTGAGTGTTACCGTGGCAGCAAGCAGGCGGACAATAGTGTTTTACAACAGGCCTTCACAATACTCTTCAAAGAGCCAGTGTTCATTGTCCACAAAATGGATGGACGGCTCCCTGTCCCCTTTCAAGCTAATAAGGGTTATGCCCAGAAAACAAGTTAAACACTTTCCGATTTGTTACATTTGGCTGTGCTTCTCAGTGTGTCCAGGAAGCTAAAGTTACAAGTTTATGCTTGCAATCTGGAGAATTTAATTACTGAGAGTTTTTGTGAAATCGACCCACGCCTTGCAGATTCAGAAGAGTGAGTAAGTCACGTCCACTGAAACGGTGTGTGTATGAACTGTACTCCCCCGTATGGCACAGGGACTTTTCATGAGGAAGGAAAGGACTTTCCTAGGACAGGAAACTTGGCTTGAGATAAACATGGGGGGGGGGGGGGGGGGTGTGTGACAGCTCCTGTTCCTTTTTTGAAATGTCCGTTTCATTCCTAGGATGATGATTTGTTTCTAATTAGAGGGATATTTTCAGGGATCTGGGCTTCATGTCAAGCTGTGTCAAAGCTCAACTATAATGAAAAAAAAAACACATTCTTTTGAGCACTCCCAATATATCAACAACTTTCAATCGCCAACCTCGTCTGCCAGCTCTCCCACATGACGCACTAATAGCAGGCTGATTCATCGCATTCAGGAAGAACCTACTCATCTGTCCTTCGGTTAAACCGCCCACACACACAGCCCACTGCCACTGTACAGCATCAACCTTCTGAAAAATATATCCACTGATTTATTTCGTCAGACATATGCACACTTGCAGACATGGTTCATTTTTCCTGCAAATGTTCTGAGCAACTCTGCAAAAATAAATGTGTGAATTTACTAATCGAGTGTGGATTACTAAAATATCATGGACCAGTTAAGAAATTATCTCATTCTGTTCCCTTCCACAAAAATACACATAGATTGGAGATAATTGATGGGTACATATTATATTATAAGATGTAGATTGTACCTTTGAGCCCTGAAATAATAACGTTAGATTGCATGGAACAATATGTGTTAATACATGTCAAATATGTGGCTTAGTTTTGCATAATAATAGATAATTGTTCCCCATTCATTCATGCCATAAAGTCTGATACAGTATTGATAGAAGGATTATAACAACATCTGGTAGTCATTTAACAAATATCCTGATCCTCCTCTCTTCCACTCTTTGCTATTTAAGGGAGTGACTGAAATGCCTGCAAAGTCTACAAGCACATTTTGGAGTTAAATGTATCTTTTAGTTTTAGTTTCCTTTATTCCCAGACTTTCTGTAGAAACCTTAAAGTGGACCTATCATGCTATATTTGAATAATATATTGTAGCAATTGTATGATTGATTTAACCTGTTCAAATGTATTTAAAAAACGTGGACATTGACAGCTCATATGGTCCAATACACAGCTTTAAAACTGGCATTCTTAGTTCATGTGGATTTTGGCAAGACAGGTTTTTTCCTCACTGCCGTCTTCCTCTTTATTCTGTCCGAGGCAAGGAGGTTCAGAGGGAACAGTCGATAAGACTGACACACACCATAAAACAATTGCCAGTGTGTCAATCTGTATTGATCCTTTTCTTAGTATGATAAACAAACGGTCCTTAAATAGCGACATTAACGGTGCAACATCATTACTTTGCGCTGCGATTTTCCCCCACATACCATGGGGCATAACGGGACCAGTCACATTACAGTGGCGGGTAAAATTCACCAGAAAAACACACTAATAGCGGTTATTACTTCAGCACATGACACATCCTTATTCCTTATTGAATCGTTATATATAACCTATGACACCTTACCTGGTTTTATTCCATAAATATGAAGACACTTGAAGAATTGCGTCCACTGGTGTGTCTCAGATGGGGAAGCGCTTTGCAGTCATCCGGACAACCTTTTATTTTCTGCCAAAAAATGAAACATGGACCCATGAAAAATGAGGCACTGTGTGGCAGATCCTACCCCGTGTTGTTTTGCAGATGGCACCGTTTTTTCAAATCCTTACAGCCCTTGCGCTTCATTCACTTGAGTGAGAGTCTGACGGTGTCACAAAAACAGCAACATTACCGAGGATGACATCCGATCAAAACTTTCAGAATAAAAAGCCAGAGCGGCTGAAGTGGGTATTGTGAATACAAACTGTATAATAAGTGTGGTTACAATAAAACGCCCCAAAAATACATGTTAGTTATTGTTTGACAACCTTTTTAATATATTTTCAAGAACTGGCCTAACCGTCAGTTTATGTAGTCCTACAGATCTCAATAAAATACAAAATAAAAGTAATAACTAAGTTAAAGTGAACTCATGAACAGCTATTATCAATAACATTGTTATCAATAAAGTAAACATAAAGTTAGAGTCAACAAAATGTAACCACATAAAACCAGAACTAGCCTAACAGACGTGACAGAATTAGCAACATGTTAGCGTTCAACTGCTAATGCTTGTATGGCTAAATAAGCAGTAGTCCAAAAATAATGACCGTTTAACATCTCAATTACACAAAAAGTTATTAAAATGGATTACCTTCAGATGCTCCAACCACAATATTTGGGTAGTTATCGAAATAAGCCTGTTCACTTGGTTACTCCTGTCCTTGCTCACAAATCTGTAACAATTTCGGTTGAAACTGCTAACGTTACTACTGACAGCATCATCAAACTGAAAATAACGGCTGGAGCGTTAAACTAATATCCAAGCAGTTTAATAAAAAAACGTTGATAACTTATTCAAACTCAACAGTGTTTTTAAATCAGTATTTGTTTTGAAGGCAAACTTCCGTGTTTCCCGGTATTATTGTACTTGCCGTTTTCTGACTTGAAGCTGTTTGTTATGCAGCCAGTGGTTGTGGGCCCTCCACCCCAGCTCCACCCCCCCACCCAATCCCATCAGCTGGATCTGGCCCCTCTGCTGGAGGGAAATTAACTAGGGTTCCCCAGACTCTCCTAGTATCGTCCAAGATGCCCAGAGTTCAACCTATTAAAACTTACTTTTGAGTTAATGTAGGCTAGTTGAGTGTTTAAATTAGAATCCAGGATCGAGACACAATCTGGAGACACCTATAGGCCACATCTTTCCTACATGATTTGTTTACATGGCTTCAGGGTTTAAGAATTGTGTAATCTTTCGCAAAGCACGTTTTGCGACATTACTTTATTGATAGAAGAAGGGAATAAAGAGGTATAGGCCAATAGTTGCATACAGCAAAGACATACCAACACATTGAGCACAGAGATAGAAAGACAATCTACAATGTCTACAATAGTAATTTTGTTTGGATATGTTGAGAATTTCAATTACTGTAGTAGGCGTACCGTTTTGTCATTTACCTGGTGACTAAGCAATGCTATTTAGCTAGAGTCTGACTGCTCCAGAGAAAGCGTAGCTATGATTTAATTGTATTGTTGCGCCACTTTAGATTCCTATTGCCATAGTGTCATCTTTTGTTTGTCCAGAGGAACATTTGGCTAATATCAGGAAGACCACTGAGAAATCAACCAGCAGCATCAATACTCAAATTACAACCCCAAAGAATATGCAGAGTGTTTTAATGGAAATAATGGCCACCCACGAGCCTGCTTTGTTTCATACAACAAAGCTATTGAGCAAATATCATGCTCTCAACAAAGTCAACAACTTTCTTGCTTGGCTAGTTAAACAGGATCACGTAATCAAGCTCGAACTATAGCCTACTTAAAAGTGAAAGCCAATAATATTCCCATGTATTTTCCTGTACACACATTCACAAATTAAAGCACAAATTGACTCTTCCAAAACCTTTTACCACATGGATCTCTATGAGGGTGTGTCAGTGATTATAGGATTTAGTTTTGGGTTTTACCAAGGTAAGGTCACACAGCTCCTTAGGATGAACATTTTGAGAAGAGGCAATTTTTTTTTAGATACCCTGAAGTAGTAGTTTGCAAACAGCATGTCAATCTTTAACCATAACCTTTAATCACATTTTTATAAAAGATCGGTTTACATTTTAATAATCAAATAAGTATGTGAACATAACCAATAACCTACCATAGCCAATAACAAATACATGTAACTTAGGCCTATTTTATTTTTGTTGTTCATTCATATCTTATTTGACCTAGTTAACATTTATTTATGCATATTTTTTAATATGTTTAAACAGTTTAAAGGATTACTTTGAAGTAGTGTGTAAATACCAGAGGTGTAAAGTAACTAAGTCCCCTTACTCAAGTACTTTACTGTGTCCTTCTACTCCTCTACAGTTCAGAGGTAAATGGTATTACTTTTTATACTATATATCCTAACAGACCCCTCAAGAGTTCATGGTTCATACACCACACTAGCCTACAAACTAAAAGTATCCCAGAAAAGCATAACATTTAAAACATGGCTACAACAACTAAAATACCCAGATGAAATTGTCCTGGGTGAAGACATCCCCACAGTAGAGTTTTCTGTTTATATTTTAAAATTGATACAAGGTGTTGTCGGGGTAAATTAAGTATAGCTAATAGCAGACTTCACCATGATTCAAATGTAAACAAAGGTGGATCCCAGCAGTCCCGAAAAAAACAACAAATGTGTAAACTTTTCCAATATCCTGTGGAGCCTGACACAGGCTGATGTTATAAAGTGATTATTATCAAAGATATATAAGAAGTGGTGCTACTTCATCATTTGTCCAACAGAGAGCACTCTAAACGTATGACAGCAATCTGAAGCACCAGGGTGGAGTGCAACTGAGCATGTTTTATTCATAAATAACATTTATTTAGTCCACTTATTTAACGTACATACACTTATGTACCTGTGTTTATGTGAAAGAAAACAGCCAATACATAATTTAGTTTAGTTTTTACTCCAAACCTCAAAAGTCAATAGGGTTGTATAGAATTTGTTGACATAAAACATATAATGGTTGAGAAACACAATGCAGTTCCACAAATTGATACACTTAATTAGGGCCATAAATAAAGCAAAAATGTAGCTATTATGATGAAAAAATGCTGATTGGATCTTTAATGACAGAGGTGAAACAAATAGACAAGGTAAAACCATTACACACCTGGAATAAATTGAAAGTAATACCTGCCTATTTGATCACTTGTTAGCAGCCAAAACAAATGTAAACCCAAGTCAAAAAGGTTAGGACTTATACAACCTATTTTTCAATGTAAATGCTATGGTAAAAATGCACAAAATATCAACAGCAATGCAGAACAGAGTACAGCAGAGCAAAAACTACAATTCCCAGGTTGCAGTGCATATCGCAGTTGAAAGGTTAAAGACGTCAACCGCACGCAGAACGAGGACAACAACAAACCCCTGAATTAGCCAAACGTTAGCATTGTGTTAAAATATCTTATTTTTCTGTGTTGATACTGTTTTAATTTTTTTGTGAAAATGTCGAAAATGGCTAAGGATATCCTAAAGATGGACCTTTATGGTTTACTCGGAATTGACATCACTGCTACACCAAAAGAGGTATGTATGTAAGCTAGCTGTTAAGCTAATTAGCTAGATAGAAATACGTTACTTTAGATCAGATGCATACCAGTCTGGAGGATGTCCTTTAGGTAGAACGTTTATCCGAGTGCTGGCTAACATTACATGGAAAAAGCGTTTGCACTTGCACAAGAACAAACTACGTGTGCTGCATTTCACTTCAGACGGCTATTTTAGCTTCTAGTTACCATGCAGCTTGTAACTGTGGGTCTGTGGTTATATTTTCCATGCATGTACACTACTAACGTAACATAAAATAGTATTTTCTTCTTTAAAGTGAAACACCAGGTAAGTGAAGCGAGGACTGAAATTGTAGGTTAAATGAGACCTCAAGTAGCAAAAGACACCGGCTAATGTTTGAATCGCAGAAGTGTCATACATAGTAAAGGCCACTTGGTGGCGACGTTGCAACAGTTTATTATTTGGTATCGAAATGTAATACAACCACCTCATGAGGTGCATTTTGAATGAGGTGGATTTACATTCTAGGACTGCAACTATTTGGGAAATTGTGTTCATCTACAAGTTATTTTCACTGTTTAATAGTTTGGTTTTTGAAATGTCAAATTCAATAAATAAAAGTCAACCACAACATTGCACAGATTAGGGAGAAGTCCTATGAGTTTATCATCTCAATGACACATCGAATAATAAACGAATTGTGTTAGTTTGGAACATTTACAAATAATATGGACATGAGATTTCATTAGTTTTTTTGGGTCTGACTACTTAATTTATTCTTAATTTAAAGCTCAACTAATGAATTACATCTGATGAGGCCTGGTAACATGTTGTAATACTACAGGAAGCATTTATAAGACAAGGTTCAAGGCTTTTATTAGTCATACATACATAGCTACAGTGTAGTTATGACAATGAAAATCTTAGGTCACAGGCTAGATATGTTGATTACTTGCACACTACAAACCACATTTTGCCTGAATTATATTTTGTGCATGCATGGATTTTGATTTAACTCTTCTAAATGACTAAAACCTGCTTTTACCCTAAGACTATATTTCTCTCACAGTATTCAGTGTCTTAAATCCACAAGCCCAAAGGGAAATTAAAATTGTGGCAAAATGGAGGCAGGAAGTGACCATTTTAACAGATTTTTAAGTCCACAGGATTTTTGTAGAGGAAGTTAACGATTGTGGCTTGGGTAGGACTGAGATTCTAAAATGCATAAAGATGGTTCTCTGAGGTGTGTGTGTGTGTGTGTGTGTGTGTGTGTGTGTGTGTGTGTGTGTGTGTGTGTGTGTGTGTGTGTGTGTGTGGTGTGTGTGTGTGTGTGTGTGTGTGTGTGTGTGTGTGTGTGTGTGTGTGTGTGTGTGTGTTGTGTGTGTGTGGTGTGTGTGTGTGTGTGTGTGTGTGTGTGTGTGTGTGTGTGTGTGTGTGTGTGTTGTGTGGTGTGTGTGTGTGTGATGTGTGTGTGTGTGTGTGTGTGTGTGTGTGTGTGTGTGTGTGTGTGTGTGTGTGTGTGTGTGTGTGTGTGTGTGTGTGTGTGTGTGTGTGTGTGTGTGTGTGTGTGTGTGTGTGTGTGTGTGTGTG